TTTAAGTCTTCCTACCAATATGACCAAGTTGCGAAAACAAGGTCAAACAACCTCTATACAACGAAAGGAGTCTTCGATCACACAAAAAGCCACACCATTTTGGTCTTCATACCTTAGAGTACTCTGTTACATTACTTATTTTTTGTTTGTAAGTATGATTTTGAAGCTACTAGTGAATCTTATTGATGAGATGTATTTACCATATTTCGTGATGGGAGGCTATTAGTAAGACCTTAGAAGAAGTAGGGTGAAGACATTTCATATGAAATAAGATTTTGCCTGCCTTGCCCACAGGCCCTCGAAAACCTTTTGACTAACCCAGCATAGACTCGACCAAGTCTGTCAGCGAGCAGCTGAAGATGCTGCCAGTCGGCCACGACCTGTCGGCCGAGTGAAGAGGTTTCATAGGCTCGTGTGAGCTGGGTCGCTCTGCTGGCCAAATAGGCGAGTGATTGAGACTCTTCGCTCTCCGTTGACAAAGGAATGCCGAGAGGCGGGCTCGAGCAAGACGGCCGCCCTCGCCGCTCCACGTGACTCCATGGCGAATCGGTAGGACGAGAATCGAGCTCAGACCCTCCTGCTTTTTGACCTTCCTCTCGGCCCTCCGTCTCGGTCGCACTCTTCAGACGGAACTCCACGTTGGCCAGTCCGAGGACCAGGCCCTGAACACGGCGGTCTGATCGGTGTCGCCGAAGTCGTCGAGGCTGGTGAAGCACTCCCTCCGGCTTGTTGGGACTCAGACCCTCCGGCTCTAGGTTCGCCGAGTCGAGCAGGCCTCGGAGAGCAGCAGGAGGATCGGAAGCTGAGCGGGAGGCGTGCAAGGCCGGAAGTGACCGGGAATGAGAGCTGGACGACGAACAAACGTCCGAGAGGGGAGAAAAGACTCGGAGGGTTACCAGACCGATAAGATGGATGAGACGAGAAATCTCCCGGATACGCTGAAGACCGGCCTCCAATTCCATCAGTCGAAGACCGCAGTCCTGGAGGGTAAATAAAAAATTAAAATAAGATACGATGAAATCGAGTGTGTAAAACAATTTTGTTGGCGCTAGATAAAGCCTGAGCTAGGCACTCTCCTTTTTCAGATCAGAAATATCCTTCGGATAGACATTAAACTCAAATTCTGACTCAAATGCTTGAAGAACAGGATCGTCAAGCCGAAACCAAATGGACGTATTAACTAAATCAGGCATAAGTATTTGTCCAGTGGATGATTTCGTTCATGAGTGTATTTC